CCACGTAAAATCCTCATTACAATATTCTAAGTTTTAGAGCTTTGCATCTAAATTTAAATAAATCCTGAAGCGGCCTGGATGCATCAAATAACACAGATTTGCTCCATTCCATGCTCTATTACATTTTATGATCACTGACCTTATGTTACTAATACAATCCATTTATTAGGTTAGTCACTCTCTGTTTACATCCGATTGTTTGTGAGCATCAAGACAACCAATAAGTTTTAGTTAATGATTCTTGATTGGCTGTGTTCCATCATTCTATGGAATAGGAAAAGAGTGCGTTTAGTAATACATCAATTGCTTATTTAACGTTATTTCAGACAAAGCAAGATCAGCTAGGTAAACTGTACTGTGAAAATGCGACAAAACCATATCAGCTTCTATATACTCTCATCTTGTGAGGACCAACATGAAAAAGCAATGAGATCCTAGAAACAAGCCAAGTAATGGCCTCCACTTCCTTTCTGGGTTTGATCTCTTCCGCAATCTCGATTTCCTGTTTCATACTTGAAGTGTTACATACCACATCGATAGAATGAGTATTTAGCTTTCTAGTTTATAAACTTAGAATCAACAAAGTAAATATGTTTTGGGTGAAAGATACTTACATTAAGATGAAAGCAGATAATATCTGCTCCATTAGGCCTGTGCCATAGTTGGCATCAGAATAGCTGAGGACATGATAAAATAAAGAGCAATGAAATGTTTTCCGACAAGTCCTTGTGATTGAGGGTAAGAAATCTAGAGTTGAAACCGCAAAAGTGCTATATCTAAAGCAACATAACCATATTTACACAGGGAATGGCCTGATATCAATAACATTACTTGTTATAGTGAAGGGAAAAAAAAATAAGAAAGATAGATATAAGGAAAGTTACCAGCAATGAGCAGCACTTCATTTTGTTTCCTAAGTGATTTTGCCATAGGCCCAAGCTTGAGGTTCAAAGTAATCGTTTTGCTCTGTGACACAATCTCAAAATCCATCCATTACTAAGATGCCTAGCAAGTCAATTAGCATTGTGAAAAAATAATCAAAAGCAGCATCATAATTATGACCAAATATTGGTCTTTGGCATAAATTGGGAAGAGTAGTATTATTTACTCTTTCGAAGATAATATATGATCCTCTACAGATGAAATTTGATACCTGAGAACAAAATATCATATTGTGGGCTAAACTCGAGGTGGGGCGAAGAAAGAAAGGGGGACAGGAACTGCAGTCAGCCAAGCCTATATTAATTCTTCAATAAATCATGACCTGCTGAACTTTCCTGTGCATCAATTTGAAATGCCTTAGTCAAGTTTTCTTAATAAGAACAAGTTGTTAACATCCTAATAGCCAAAATATAACCAAAACAAACCTCTATGAGAAATAAAAGCACTTTCCAAATTGCAATCTGGGGCCAGTGGAGAGTTCACTAACAGAAACTGCCTAAACAACAAACAGTAAGAGTCAGCAATGAAAATTGATTCATAGATAATGTCCTGTCTCTCTTAAGAAACAACAAAATTCCAGAAATGAGTAAGACATTCTGATCAAGAGTACATTAATCAAAAGAGTATAAGGATCAGCTAAAGCACATGCACGTCTAGTACTATTTTACCTATTTTTTAATCTTGAGGAAAAGAAAACAAACCAGGGCTCAGATGAGTAATTAATGTCGGTGAAAGACATTAAAGCCAGTGCAGCAAGAAATTAATGTGCCTCTGAGATCAACAAAATGAAATTGTGATAACTAGCAAACACATAGAAATATGGACAGAAAGATTATATAAGATGCTTAAGGGCAATCACCTTTGCTTATTGATGCTGATGGCCTATCATAGTTCAAGAAGTCTCTGCTTTAACTGGGCTGTAAAGATCAGATTCAAAAGAAGTCGACATCTATAGGACAATTTTCTACTGATGCCTGCAAAATGGAGAAACAAAATTGTTTAGTAGGTAGACATACATATAGCAAAAATATATTAAACATTTTACCGGATTAATTCTTGGAATCATCCTTATGCATTTACCTTTAAGTCTGTCACAACTTCAATTGCTATTTGAAAATCCCATGGCCGTTTCTTTGCTCATATGCAAAATCAATCACGATATTGGGGATGTGAGAGATCTTGTGCCGTTCCTCTCCAGTACTCCTCAGGCTGTAACATTGTTTTAGAATGGAACACCAATTGATACTCAATTCCTCCAAAGTTGTCTTCTGCAGAATGCGGTCTGGTATTTTGCTTAATTTCGGACAATGTACAAATGATAGCGAGTGAAGACATGGCATGATTATTGACTCTTCCCGTACATCTATAAGCATTCGATCCCATTTTTCCATGTCAACAAATTTGAGCGACACCAGCTTCGGAAACACAATAGCAGATGCATTACCACTTTCGATTCCCAGAAATTCATTACCAACTCGTTTCACACTCTGCAAACTCCATATAGAGAGTGATTCAAGGGATGGAAGTCTTCCCAAAGCAGGTAAATTCTCAAACTTCATGCAATCATGGAGATTCAACATCCTCAATTTTTCTAATGGCAGGATCCAATCAAGAGAAATACCACGGCCTCTGTATCCTCGAATTTCTAACCCCTCTATATCAGAAGGTGGTTGCAAGGCTACAAGAATCTCTTCTTCCTCCTGACTCACCTTCTCTTTTTCCTCCGTTTCAAAATCTAGATGCAAAGAGAGGAGATTTCTCTTTGTCTTCAGTTCTGCTTTCTTNCCGTGAAACATATCAAAACGTGTCTACAATGGCAAATAATCAACTAGCTTTGCGAGCTCAAAGTCATCCTTCAGCAAACCTAGTTGATTATTACTTCTCTTCTCCTTTGCATGAATCTCAAACCGTATCAAAATTATAATTATTTGCGATCATAGAATTACCTCAACCAAAAGGGCATACAGGAAATCTCAAAACAAATTAACCAATAATCTTCGGGATTTGTAAGAGGAGATGACTTGCCTGAAAACTTCACCGGAGAGCTAATTGATCCTGCTGCTTCAAATGTTTAGCAATGGCTTCATATTGTCTCTACTTCTTGGTGCAACAAAAACTGATGAGATTCTTTGTTTTTGTTTTAATTAAGGCTCTAATATCAAAGTTTTGTTACCCACTCCAAATAGGGGATTCACTTGCTTTATGATTTATTTAGAATAATCTAATGTTATTTAATAATCTTGTCTTTTGAAGTATTGAGATGGTTAATTAAGGAAATATCCCTAAATGTAATCACAATTATACCCTCAAATACTTATGATCAAAATGGGTTGAAAATGATAATATACCCAGTTTTATTTTTTATTTCCCATTATAATTTTTAAAACTTCTTAAACCATAATGTATTTAATTTTGGTAAAAATTGTAATTATATTAACCATACATGTGGATCTCATGGTTTAGTAGTCCAAGATCATTGTGTATACCCACCCATGGGTACTTGTTCTCATCGTATTTCTAAATAGTCCACATACTTTACCACTTTTCACCTAGGACCCCAAAATAACTTCTTAAAACTGGAAGTTATGGACAAAACCGGATCGGATCCGGATATCTGATTTCTTTCTGGAGCCTATCCGATATCCGATCCGAAATCCAGATATTCCAAAAATTGATATCCGAATCCGATCCGAATTTTTGGATATCCAGTTTTTTCAAATCGGATCGGATAGGATACGGACCGGATATCGGATTTTTTTGCACACTCCTAATGGCTAGCCTAGCGGTAAGGGCGAACCAAGTGGGTTGTAAATGGGTAGAATCTATAATCCTAGGTTTGATTTCTCGTCGGATGCAAAGGTTGGCCATGATTTATTTGGGGAGGTCATGGCGGTGGATTGTTATGGGATAGCTGCTCCTATGGATTAGTTGAGCTATATAAGCAAAATGTAGACAAAAGTCTTGTTGGGATGTTGGAGGGCTTTTTTAGGATTAACAATTACTCAAAGAATAACACTTTAACTTGGTTCTATGTATATGTTGGACTTCAGGACCTTAAGAAAATTGAATATATTATGAAATAAGAATTGTAAATCAAAGTAAAAACCAAATGGGCTAATCTGTTCATTTCGCAACATGAGGTATGTACTAAATTTGTGACAAAAATCATATTCAGACTTGCAAAAAAATCTAGAGTTATACACAACAAATTTATCACGAAGAAGTCGAAGCTTGAGCGACTCTATTCCATACTCAATTATCAATTTATCATCACTTTAGGAGAAAACATTTGCTAGCACTTCCATTGATTTAGATTAGTCTTATCTTCATCTTATGAAATAAATACTTGTAGCTTCCATCAACTTCTATAAAATCCTTTGCAGCAACTTCTGTCGCCGTTTGGACTCTCTCTTTGTCTTTACCTTATTCCCAGTAATCTCCATTTCCTGTTTCATACTTAAAGAGTCTTGCTTAAACTTTAGATATCTAAACAAAAATAAATATTTTGGGTGAAGAAGCTGGATTGAAGCTAATAGCTGTTCCATCCAACTACAAGGGTGTAATGTTTCCATTTTGAAACTTGTGGGTCTCCTTTTTGCTTTTACTAAACCCCAAGGGTGTCCACGTAAATCCCATTACATATTCTAAGTTTTCAGAGCTTTGCATCTGAATTAAATAAATCCTGAAGCGGGCCTGGATGCATCAAATAACACAGTTTGCTCCATTCCATGCTCTATTATCATTTTATATCACTGACCTTATGTTACTAATACAATCCATTTATATAGGTTATCCTCCCTCTTTTACATCCGTTGTTTGTGAGCATCAAGACAAACCAATAAGTTTCTAGTTAATGATTCTTGTTTGGCTTGTGTCCATTCATTCTATGGAATAGAAAAAAGAGTGCGTTTAGGTAACATCAATTGCTTATTTAACTGTATTTCAGACAAAGCAAGATCAGCTAGGTAAACTGTACTGTGAAAATGCGGACAAAACCATATCAAGCTTCTATATACTCTCATCCTTGTAGGAGACCAACATGAAAAAGCAATGAGATCCTAGAAACAAGCCAGTAATGGCCTCCACTTCCTTTCTGGGTTTGATCTCTTCCCAGCAATCTCGATTTCCTGTTTCATACTGGAAGTGTTACATACCACATCGTATGAATGAGTATTTAGCTTCTCTAGTTTATTAACTTTAGATATATCAACAAAGTAAATATGTTTTGGTGAAAGATACTTACATTAAGATGAAAGCAGAAATATCTGCTCCATTAGGCCTAAGCTGCCTAGTTGGCATCAGAATAGACTGAGGACATGATAAAAAGAGCACATGAAATGTTTTCCGACAAGCTCCTTGTGATTGAGGGAAGAAATCTAGAGTTGAAACCGCAAAAGTGCATATCTAAAGCCCTAACCTATTTACACAGGTATGGCCTGATATCAATAACATTACTTGTTATAGTGAAGGGAAAAAAACTATAGAAAAGATAGATACTAAGGAAAGTTACCGAGCAATAGCAGCACTTCATTTGTTTCCTAAGTGATTTTGCCATAGCCCAAGCTTGAAGGTTTCAAAGTAATCGTTTTGCTCGTGACACAATCTCAAAATTCCATCTATTACTAAGTATGCCTAGCAAGTCAATCTAGCATTGTGAAAAAATAATCAAAAGCAGCATCATAATTATGACCAAATATTTGGTCTTTGGCATAATTTTGGGAAGAGTATTATTATTTACTCTTTCCTGAAGATAATATATGTCCTCTACAGATGAAATTTGATACCTGAGAACAAAATATCATAGTGGCTAAACTCGAGTGGGCGAAAGAAAAGGGGACAGGAACTGCAGTCAGCCAAGCCTATTATTAATTCTTCAATAAATCATGACCTGCTGAACTTTTCCCTGTGCATCAATTTGAACTGCCTTAGTCAAGTTTTCTTAATAAGAACAAGTCCTGTTAACATCCTAATAGCCAAATATACCAAAACAACCTCTATGAGAAATAAAGCACTTTCCAATTGCAATCTGGGGCCAGTGAGAAGTTCACTAACAGAAACTGCATAAACAACACACGTAAGAGTCAGCAATGAAACATTGGATTCATTAGAATATATGTCCTGTCTCTCTTAAGAAACAACAAAATTCCAGAAATGAGTAAGACATTCTGATCAAGTACAGTAATCAAAAGAGTATAAGGATCAGCTAAAGCACATACACGTACTATTTTACCTATTTTTTAATTTTGAGGAAAAGAAACAAACCAGCTCAGATGATAATTATGTCGGTGAAAGACATTAACGCCAGTGCAGCAAGAATTAATGTGCCTCTGAGATCACAAAATGAAATTGTGATAACTAGCAACACATAGAATATGGACAGAAAGATATATAAATGCTTAGGGCAATCACCTTTGCTTATGATGATGATGGCCTATTATAGTTCAAGAAGTCTCTGCTTTAACTGGGCTGTAAAGATCAGATTCAAAAGAAGTTGACATTTATAGACAATTTTCTACTGATGCCTGCAAATGGAGAAACAAAATTGTTTAGTAGTGGACATACATATAGCAAAATATATTACCATTTTAACCTATTATTCTTGGAATCATCCTTATGCATTTACCTGTAAGTCTGTCACAACTTCAGTTGCTATTTGAAAATCCCATGGCCGTTTCTTTGCTCATATGCAAAATCAATCATGATATTGGGATGTGAGAAATCTTGTGCCGTTCCTCTCCAGTGCTCCTCAGGCTGTAACATTGTTTTAGAATAGAACCCCAATTGATACTCAATTCCTCCAAAGTTTTCTTCTGCAGAATGCGGTCTGGTATTTTGCTTAATTTCGGGCAATGTACAAATGATAGCGAGCAAAGACATGGCATGATTATTGACCTTCCCGTACATCTTAAGCATTCGACCCATTTTCCATGTCAACAAATTTGAGCGACTCCAGTTTCGGAAAGACAATAGCAGATGCTTTACCACTTCGATTCCCAGAAACTCATTACCAACTCGTTTCACACTCTGCATATTCCATATAGGAGGTGATTCAAGGGATGGAAGTCTTCCCAAAGCGGTAATTCTCAAACTTCATGCAATCATGGAGATTCAACATCCTCATTTTTCTAATGGCAGGATCCAATCAAGAGAAATATCACGGCCTCCGTATCCTCGAATTTCTAACCCCTCTATATCAGAAGGTGGTTGCAAGGCTACAAGAATCTCTTCTTCCTCCTGACTCACCCCTCTCTTTTTCCTCCGTTTCAAAATCTAGATGCAAAAGAGGAGATTTCTCTTTGTCTCAGTTCTGCTTTCTTGGCTTCATTCACATCTTTCACATTTCCCAACCTTTTTAAACTGAGAGACCCTCTAAGGTGGTTCAAGTTTTCCAGACCTCTAGGGTGCATGCTTCACCGCCGCTGCCGCCACCACCCAAAAAGAAATCACTTAAGGTCTGAAGGCAAGTTATTTCTCGATTCCTTGGCATGTACTCTAGTGAAGTTCCATTGTTACTAGATGCCTCAAGTTGATTAACTTTCCAATCCCCTGAGGTAACTTCTTGGTGTTGGTACCCACACTCAGCTCTAAAGTTTGCAATGCATATACTCACACAATGTCTCAGGCAATTCTTCAAAATTTAAAGGACAAATTAAGATATCTCAAATGTGATAATTTTCCTCTCTCTCTTGGAATCTTTCTACTGGAATTCGCATACTGCAGCTTTGCACTGAGATCTAATGCCCTTAAAGGTATCTGTTGATCAAATAACTTTAATAGGACATCACTAAGCAATGAGGGATCTGTAACTCTACACAGAATTATGAGGCTTCGCAACTTTTTGAAATCACTTAAGGATTTAGGAAGTGGAGCTCCTTCCCTGACCATTAACATTAAATGGTGAGCTTCTTGGTGAGCAGTGTTTGAGAATGGATCTTCAAGACCATTAACTTCGATGGTTAAATACTCAAATTTATTGATAAATTGAGCGAAATCATGCACTATATCCTGCATTTTGCAACATAAAATAGTGCCATCATGATCTTTTTTAAACACATCGAAGAAAGATAGTCTTACTAAGTAGTCAAAATACTCTCGACCCTTCATCTCCATTTCTTCATCTTTTTCTAAACCAAGATAACCTTGTGCCATCCATAGTTTAATTAATTGATCTTTGCTCATATTGTAATCTTTTGGAAAGATAGCACAATATGAGAAACATCGTTTTAACATTGTGGGTAAATCACAATAACTCAAAAACAGAAATGGAAAATGATTGTTCGCCTCTAACTCTTCTAGTTCCCATATACAACTTTCTGAGATTTTCGGCCATTGCTCTATGGTATTTTTAAAGCGTAAGAGACTCCCAATAATCTTTACAGCAAAAGGCAAACCCTTACACTTATCTGCAATTTTCTCACCTATGTCTTCTACATAGTTCCAATCCTCAGGAGACCTATCAAAAAATGCTAAATGTTTTAACAACATCAAACATCCCTCTCTAGGCAATTTCTCAATTGGGACAACCTCTTTTAATTCGACCATAGAAGCTATTGTCTCCTTTCGAGTGGTAATTAAAATCTTAGTACCAGGTAAACCATTCTTCAGACAACGATAAAATGGCTTCCATTTTTCATAGTCTTCTACGGACATACCATCTAAAACAAGAAGACATTTCTTTCCCACAACAGATAGACTAATCCATTGCAAAAGAGACCCAATTTCAACAACATTAAAGACGACCCCTTTCAGAGCTTTAATGATAGACTTAGCTATCTTAAGCTCATCAAAAGGGTCAGAAACACGCACCCATATTCTTTTATCAAAATAACTTAGCACCATATTATCATTGTAGGCGAATTGAGCCAGAGTTGTTTTTCCGACTCCTTCCGGCCCTACAACTGATATGATATGGGGATGTTTTCTTTTAACACCACTCTCACACAACTTGCCCACTAATTCCTTCTTCTCATTGTCTCGAAAACATATCTCAGACACATCATCAAAAGAGCTACTAACACTCTCTATTTTCTCATCACTCCTCCCAATGTCTTTAAGGCTAAATTTTTTTTTCTCTTTGTTAATATCATCTATTATTTCACTTAGTTCTTTAATCTTCCGAGCAAAGTCACGATGTATACTGACACCATTCAAACAAGAGCAAGAGGAGGGCAACATAAAGCATACCTTCTCTTTCTCACGAATAAGAGCATTCAGATCAGCGCCCGGGACTTGCATTTTCGAGACAGCAATGTTCCACTCATCCAAAACATCTTCCAAGTCATAGCACGTATTTTTGAGCTTGTTCAACCATGATCTCAGAGGTTTCTCCTTCCCTTGTTTTTGCTCTGCATCAGCCGGCACATAGCGAATTTCTTGCAGATTTTCACGAAGCTTTTTCAGTTCGTTTTCGGCACCCTCAGGAAGTCTTCCTTCTAGGTAATTCTCTGGCGTAATGGTTGTCTCCAACTGCCCCAAGACGCTGGAAACAATTTCAAACCCAACCACAACCATTGCCAGGTGCCCTTCTGAAGCCATCTTTTTCGTCATGGCAGCAGTGCTCAGAAATCAGGGATTGTAACCGAATGAAAAAGAGATGAGAAACTGATTTTTTTTGTGTTGTGAAATGCTGCCACCCCTGGTTTTATACTCTATGCATGAATAATATTAACTGAAGTAATTTTTATGCCCATCGAATTCATCAATGAAACTAATTATTGTTGATCAAAAACTTGGTTTTATTACTCAAAATGATTTGGCTTGAACTTCCTCCTCAATTGCTAATATTGATAGTCAATTGTTAATATTGATAGTCACTAGAGGTTTTACTCAGATTAATAATTTTAAGGTGTTGAAGATTAGTAGAGATATGCATAAGCTGATCCGAACACCCCTGATCATAAAAATATATATATATATATTAATGTCCCCACTGTTAAATATGTTTTTGCTAAATATGTATTTACTTTGACAATTTTAACATTAACGATAATTATTGGAAATATTTAATAATTTTTAAATATACTTTTATTTTATTCAAAATCGGAGAAGAGGGGCATTAAAAAAAAAAAAAAAAAGAAACATAATTAAGAGGATGCAAACCAAAAGCCTAAATCAGGGAGCTTTAAAGAATTTTTTTTTTTTTAAAATATATATATAAATGAGTAATGTTATGCTTACTCATGAACTTACTAACTACTTTGCTCACCTTTGTTAAAATTACATATGGTACCCGTATTATGCGTATAGTACTCGTATTATACTTTATATTTACAAAGATTAGTAAGATGGTTAGTAACTTCGTGAGCAAGCATAGCATTATTGATATATAAATAGATACGTATTTAGTAATAGGGGATATTGATCAATTTGATAGAGACTAAAGTTACTTCCCTAATGTCAATTTTTAAGAGTAATTAATTGTTAAATCTCGAATCTAACTAAGTATAAATCGTCTGTTTTAGGTCTAAGATTTGACAACTAGTACGAGAGCACACTTGCTATCCAATAGACGGTGTGACAACGCGAGGTCTATAAACATGGGATGGGCAGTTTGTCAAATCTACATCGCTAGCAAATGAATTTGGGATTCAATTTACACGGATCTTACTAACCTTTGTTAAAATTACATATGGTATTCATACTATGCGTATGGTACCTATATTATACTTTAGATTAGTACGCTGATTAGTAAAATTCGTTAATACGCATAGTATTATTGTTCAATTTATAAAACTTGGATGCGTTTTAAACGAAAAATGCTTGTAAACTCGTACCAATCTCGAACCGATTCAAATTTCTATTTGGTTGACCCAAGGTTTGACACCAATGCTACAAGAATAAATTGACGAGAAATTATTTTAATTTCTTATCTCATTATATCATAGTATATTAATTTGCACAAAAATAAATTTGTACTAATAACATTATTCTATAACAAGAAATGGAGACCCTTATGCTTTGCTTTGGCATTGGTTTAACAAAAGAATTTTCTTCAAGCTATTCCAAAGATTTAAGTATACATAATAGTGTACTAAATATTATTTTCTTACTCGATGAATGTTCTACATGGGCAGCAAGAATTAAAGATCCCAAGCTTGATCTTAAGGAGAAAGCATATACACTTTGCAAGTTAGTTAAGCAAAGAATAATATTGCTTTAGAAATGCCCTTGAAGAAGAAAACATGCCAAACTCGTAATCTTTAATAGGGTAAAAGAAAAAAGTGAGTGCTTTATATTATGTAGTTAGCTTTGCTTTATGTATAAGCAAATTAAAGAATCTGGCCATTCATGTGATTGCAGATTTCACAACTGCCTCTGTTTTTTAACCAAGGTGTCTGGGTCAGCTCACGACTAATCCTCAGAGGAGACTAACTCAGTAACCCACTATCACGGCCTCCCATACGGATCAATTTTGTGGAAAAAATAAAAGAACGCCACCTTTTTTTTATAACCAAGGTGTTCAAGCCAACTCACGACTAATCCTCGGGGGAGACTAGTGTAGCAACCAACTGCTATGGCCCCCACGTGGATGCTTAAATGAGGAATCGAACCTAAGATGTAGGTGCCTATTCATACTATTTCTAATTCACTCTAACTATATGGGCTATCCATAGATGAGTTAAAGAGTCTAGCCATTCAAATGTGATTTCAGATTTAAAAAATCAGTGTTGCAATATCTGATTTATTACTCCGATTAAATCTAAACATGAACAGAGAAAAGGAAAATAAAAACTATTAACTGGATACAGAAATTAACACAGCACAATAACTACTATTTGACAATCAATTTAGCGCTAGTATGGCCTTGAGAAATCCGGAACTGACTAGTCATGCCAAAATATTATGTTCTTAAGGGAGGATAACATTTCCCACCCAAGGTTTGGTGAAACAACACTTTTCCACTCCTTAAGTTTCAAAACTACACTTTTTCAACCATCATTAATTTAAGGGTGAGCGGTTCCGGGTATTCTGTATTTTCTGGGGGAATCAGAATCGAAACCGCACAGTGTAGGTTCCCAAAAAAGGAACCGGAACTGCACAGTACAGATTCTTCAATTCAAGGAACCAGAACTTAAAATATAGGTTCCAGTTCCTTTCTCGGTTACCCTGTAAAAAATCAATTACCCTTATTAGTTTAAAAAATGATAAAAATACCTTAAAATTTTACAAATACACCCCTAACAAATTTTAGTTACTCATTCATTTGTATTCAATGTAACTCATAACCTGTAAATTTAATATTATAAATTAATAATGTTTATAATGTAATATAGGAATGTTGCAATTAATTAAGTAATTATTAAATTATAATATAATGTTATAATTAATTAAGTGATCATACTATAATGTAATGTTATTAATACTTTTAATTACTTAAGTAGTTATTTAACAATAATGTAATGTTATAATAAATTAAATTTTTAATAATTTAATCACTTTAATATTTATAATATAATGTCATAATTAATTAAGTAATCATTTAATTATGTAATGTTATAATTAATTAAGTGATCAAACTACAATGTAAATTGTAATGTTATAATTAATTAAGTAATATACTATTTAATATATTGTAATATTATAATTAATTAAATTATTAATCATTTAATTCAGTATTGTAATATTGTTTATAATATAATGTTATAATTAATTAAGTAATCATACTATAAATTTATAATGTAATGTTTTAATTAATAAAATTCTAATCATTTAATTAAGTACTGTGTAAATTAGTAAATTACTAATGTTTATAATATAATGTCATAATTAATTAAGTAATCATTTAATTATGTAATGTTATAATTAATTATGTGATCATAATATAATGTAATGTTATAATGAATTAACTAATCATACTATAAATCTATAATTTGATATGGTAACTAATTAAATTTCTAATTATTTAATTAATATACTAATGTTTATAATAGAATGTTATAATTAATTAAGTAATTATACTATAAATATATAAAATAATATTATAATTAATTAAATTTTTAATCATTTAATCAAGTAATGTAATAATATAGTAAATTATTAATGTTTGTAATGTAATGTTATAAATTCATAGCTAATTATGTAATCATTTAACTATATAATGCTATAGTTAATTAAGTGATCATAATATAATGTAATATAATAATGTTATAATTTAATTGAATAATTATTTAACTATAATGTAATGCTTAATTAATTAAATTTCTGATTATTTAAGTAATTAATCATTTGTTTATAAAATAATGTTATCATTAATGTTTATAATATAATGTCATAATCATTTAAATAATCATCTGATTATGTAATGTTATAACTAATTATGTAATCATACTATAATGAATTAAGTAATCATACTATAAATCTTTAATATAATATTATAATTAATTTGTTTATAATATAATGTTATAATTAATTAAGTGATCATTTAATTATTATGTAATGTTATAATTAATTAACTAATTAAGTAATCGTACTATAAATTTATAATATAACGTTATAATTAATTAAATTTTTAATCATTTAATTAAATATTGTGCTAATGTTTATGTAGTAAATTACTAATTACTAATGTTTATAATATAATGTCATAACTCATAATCAATTAAGTAATTATTTAATTACATAATGTTATAATTAATTATGTGATCATACTATAATGTAATGTTATAATGAATTAAGTAATCAGACTATAGATCTTTAATATTATAATTAATTAAATTTTTAATCATTTAATTAAGTAATATAATAATGTAGTAAATTACTAATGTTTATAACGTAATGTTATAAATTTATAACTAATTAAATAATTATTTAACTATGTAATAATATGATTAATTAAGTGATCATAATATAATGTAATGTAATAATGTTATAATTTAATTAAGTAATTATTTAACTATAATATAATATTTAATTAATTAAATTTCTAATCATTTAATTAAGTAATCATTCGTTTATAATATATTATTATAATTAATGTTTATAACATAATATTATAATCAATTAAATAATCATCTAATTATATAATGTTATAATTAATTATGTAATCATATTATAATAAAATATTAAAATATTACAATGAATTATGTAATCATACTATAAATCTTTAATATAATATTATAATTAATTTGTTTATAATAGAATGTTATAATTAATTATGTAATCATTTAATTATAATGTAATGTTATAATTAATTACGTAATCGTACTATAAATTTATAATGTAATATTATAATTAATTAAATTTTTAATCATTTAATTAAGTATTGTACTAATGTTTATATAGTAAATTACTAATTACTAATATTTATAATATAATGTCATAATCAATTAAGTAATCATTTAATTATGTAGTGTTATAATTAATTATGTAATCATACTATAATGTAATGCTAGAGTGAAATAAGTAATCATACTATAAATATTTAATATAATATAATATTATAATTAATTAAATTTTTAATCATTTAATTAAGTTTGTATTAATGTTTATAATAAAATGTTATAATTGATTAAGTAATTATACTATAAATCTATAAT